ACTAAAAAGTCATTAATATCACGTCGATAGATACAACTAAAGATATTCACATTGCCATTAGAAATTGTATGCGCAGCCTAGTATCTAAATAAAAAATTATTTATAGTAATTGCATACTTTGAATATGAAAAGAAGTGTATTGCATTTTATAAGCGAATTCATGATATCGAGTGCCTTTACGAAAATTTCATGGAAAAGTCATCGCAGTTGTCGTGGTATCCAAACCTAATAGTCGCACACGTTTATCTAAAAGAAATCGATTCACTACGAATTTTGAAATCAGACTTGAACAGATAAACCTGTAATGTTTCTCCTGAATGTTCTATTCATTTTCACAATATATTACACCATTTCGATACCTTTTACTTTATTTTTACACGCTTAGTTGCTTAAAATAATGTCTGCAAAACACTGACATCATAGAGGGTGGAGCATCAGTTTTACACAACAGCTTCTCTTCACCTTCTGATAATTTCTCTAATGATAAAGTATATTCTTTATCGAAAACACCTACAACATAACAATGTTTGTTTAATTTTCAAATCTATTTACATTTCAATATTTGAGAGTAAATCATAAATCACTGTTGAAAGGTATAGCAAGGTTGTATGGGGTGGCTTAATCCTGCTAACAACATGTAGCAATGACTATAACAGGTCTGGCTTAGATAGTTTCACTATAGCGAAACGACAGTGCTTCATTGTAAAATAAACAAAAAATAGTTATAGGAAATAAGAGAATATCATAGTCCAATTTTATGGAGTTTACTATATTTCATTTGCCGGTTTTATATATTACTCTGTCTTATTGTTGACAAGGCTAATGCGATCATCAAGAAAGTCCGATTATAAACAGAGAATAATATAGTTTGATATATACAGTAATAACACATAACATACCTTGATCAATATTCCCTCTACCCAAGACAGTAAATGCCAAAAACAAGATATCACGATATATAGAAAATAGAGGTTGGTCAGGTGCTTGGTTTCTGCTTCTTTCTAAGGCCACTCTTTTAATAGGTTCCGCTAGATCATTTCGTCGAACGTTCGTAATCACTGACTGCATTAACCTGTTACAAATAAACATCAAAGAATATTGATTTCAATATGAAAACTAGAAAGGCCACAATAATATTATACATTGAAAAGAATTGTTATTTCAAAAACCGAACGTTTATATCTTTTGAGAGATGATCATCGTACTTTGAAAATAAATAATTTATAAATATGACCTTATAAATCAATTTTACATGTTACAGCTCGAATGATCTTACACAATATAATACTTTTATTTACGTTTTATCCTCTGCAACATTGAATTTCCATTGGAGGTACATAGGCAAACGATCCATATGAAGTCTCTCGTTATCCCACATGGTTTTCACACCTACTACACCATAGCTTATTTGTTCGTGCTTCTTATCATTATTTAACCATAAATCTGGCAGGTGACTCGTTAAATTAATTCGTTCAAAGTACCATATAAGATTCCAATACACTATTGGATGTTCTTCGATAAATTTATGTTTTGTAAGACATGTATCACCTTCTTGACTTAAGACACTTTCTAATTCTTTCCTTAGAACTAGAGGGTTCAAATATGGCACTGTGGTGGGTTCTAATAACTCTTTCGGTTTGTCCAAAAGTTCAACTAGTGCTCCCATTAGAGGATCATTCTTCCTTTCATTTTCCTCGCATCTTTAAAAATATTATATAAATCTTACCACTCCATGGTACATGGTACTTATATATATAAAATTAATTATTTCAAACATTAAACACGAATATCTCTGTTAAATTTAAAAATATAAGAAGATGATAGCACGGATAGCAATGAACGCGCAACAATTAATAAAATAGGGACTGCGATACTTATAGAGATATTATTGTATCTTTCATTACCTATAATCTAATATCATTATGGTCAGCAGAGGTACCGTCGCTTTGTCACAATACTGACAGACTGTATTTAAATTCGAATCCTCTGGTTGCCAACCAGCCATTATTTCTTCATCATAGAGTATGGAGGCACAATGATGACATCGGCTAGCGCTAGAAAGTACGAGCTCAACAGCGATTCGTTCGTCAAGTTCTCTTGATCCCTTCGGATATAAACATTCCGCCAAATCGTACAAAGTGTAAGGATCTATATTTCCATCGCCTACTTTAAAAAAATAATGTATTATTGCATGAATCAATGCTCCATTTAACGTATTTTATATAATCTGATCCAAACTTAAATATTCCATTGCGATCATTATATTTACAATAAATAACTAAGAAAATATTATATAGGCCAGTGTGAAAACACTCTCTATTTACAAATACTTCGATTAAAGTTTTAAATTACACAAACCAGACATTCTAAGGGCTTCACTTCGATCTTGTACAGATCCATCTGCCTGTGAATCTAATGATTCGTGCGATGCTCCATGCATCATTTTATGGTCGCGCTCTTTAATTTTCACAGGTGTACTATTCGCAGAAATGGCTTCTTTAATTACGTCGAACTTTTTTACCACCGTTGTAGCGGCCGATTTTAAGCTGTTTAAGCCGCCGATTATCAATTCGTTAGATTTCTTTCCTGTCAAACTCGTGGTGCTGAAAGAAACGTTTTTTTTTATAAAATTAAAAAATAATACAACAGGCTACTGAATTTATATTAATGATGAACCATTTAAATGCAACAGCTCAAGTTCTAGCTAACGCAATTCTACTTGAGTGAATTTACACTTACCCGAAACTGAGTTTCAAACTAGAACCTAGACTTGACAAACTTGAAGTAACACTATCTTTCTGGGACCAAAGACTACTCAATTCCAGTCTCTCTCTATCTTTATCTTGTTCACCTTGCTGCGCTACCGAATGCGGCATTGTTTCGCTTCTTTGTAATTGACCGCCTATTGCTACACCGGTTTCATCTACGGTTTGATGAAATGTTGCACTACGCGGCAAGACAGTGCTAGAAACAATCATGTAATGGAAAAAAATTGTAACTATACGATATGATAAAACATTACTCTACAACCGAAAATAAAAAGCCTTTGAATTACTCTAAATAGCATATGAAATTTACCTTCGAAATAATAGCGGCCCTCCCGGTCTTTCTTCGACATTATTAAAAACAGTTAAAGTACACGTTGAGCAATTCGAATCGTTTTCTTCCGAAGGTGAAACAATCGGTGTTTCATCGTTCATCAGGGCACCCAGCGGATCGTTCTCCGTAACTGGCGTGCGTATGGGACTCTTTAACGGCGACTCCAAGTTCGAAATCAATCTGAAGTAAATACGGTAATAAACTTGAAAAGAAAATAGAAAAGTTTGTTTTTTCATAAACTTATGTACTGATCATCCCATTTCAAAAATGATGTACCAGTTTGTACAGCCAACAATGTTAACGGTAAGCCACAGAAAATAATATTTTGACAGAAACAGTATTGTTAAACTACAGAACTATAGAAATGGGAGATTAATTATCGCTACATCGATTATACCGGGTGTTGTATTATACTCTCTTTACGATATTCTTTATATTAAAAATGGCAACGCACATGAATATAAAATTACCTTTGAGTTATTGGTAAATCATTAAGCTCCTCCGATTGTATAGCATTTAACGCTATAGTGTCTTTCACTATGCTGTTCTGACGAGGAAGTTTTTTAATCTCGAATGGTCCATACTCTGGTAAATCTGATGTGGAACTCCCTTTCGTAGCTACACACAAAGAATGAAATATCACATCTACTCGATAAAGTAACATGTTGAAGCATTAATTAATACTCACAATCGCTGTGCGCAGCTTCTGTGTCTTGAGAGTGAGAGCTATCGAGGCTAGATCTAGAAAATGCATGTTCCATATTCGCAATTTTACCGTCGACAGTCAATAAATCCGTATTTGAACTCAATCTTCGTCTAGCACTTCGTTTGCCAGCTCTCTTAAACAATGCAGCTCCAACTATGGCGTTTCTCAGCTTATTCCACATTAATTGGCTCGAATTAGTCATATCAGAAGGCCAAGTTGCTTCAAGTACAGCCTGCAAATTTTATCCATAAATCGGTGTACAATGAAATTTATATAGAATTGGAAAAGAAAACATTGTTAGTAAAAGTAGCAAACCTTATTATAGAATCCATACGTGAGAGCATTCGGTTGAACGCCACTACGTTTCATATGAAATAATAATTTTACAGCTAAAACAGGTTGTCCATAAACACCACAAAGTTGCATCATAGCTCTATAACAAACCTAAAACCAGCACTATTACTATTAAAGTTTTCCATTGTATTATTCTGATAAGTCTACATAGACAATATATCACATATGGAAATTGATTAACAGTATGCCTTCTTTTGGACAAAAATGGATCCTGATTTTGCAGAACATACCTCTTCAATGGGATCAAGATGTAATTTCGGCATTTTAACTAGTAAATCATACGCCTGATGTAAGATTGTAGCTGGCTGGTTAGACACTTGCAGCATAGCAGGTAAATGTAGAAACCAAAGACTGTAACAAGTTCCAAGTAGGCATCTGCCCCATCGATCTGGCATTGCTGCCTAAAAAATAAAGTATTGCTCATAAATGAAATCTTTACATTTAATACATCTTACTATAGTAAAAGTAATAATTAAAACTAATAATTAAAATTTAGTAAGAATAATAATTAGAACATTCGTACCTGTTTACGCGCCATCCTTTGGGCCACTTTAATTTCGTGTTTAGTTCTGCGTGCCATAGGACTTCCTGGTATTATACCGAAGGCACTTAAATTAGCATTTCTTATATTAAAATGTTTCTGTGGCCTAATTAAATCAGGATTCAATTTAAATGTACGATAAACGATAGGTGTCTGATTCGGCCCAGCTTCAGGTGGAGGTATAAATACTGTTCGTTCACTGTGCTGAGATTCATCCAATTCCAAAAGTGGTACTAAATAAAGACGACAGTGAAAACAATTAAACAGCAAAAAAAAGAATATAATCAAGTTTATTCTTACCATTCTCATCCTCGATGCGTTCAGTACATTCGTCGAAAAATGCTAATCCCGCCATGTCCATGTCAGATACGAAACTCCTTTCTTCTATAAATCTAAAAAATGTAATCTTTAATTACTACAAAAGCAAAATTATGACTACACATTATTTATATAATTCATACTGCGCCGTATGAAAGAATGATTATTACGAAAAGCATACTTTACCTTATAAACATTTGTGTCTTCACTAACATACTGTAAAATTTCGCATGAGCTTTGTCCCGACTTCTGAGAAACGCTTGTATATTAAACAAACTAGTCGGATCTGTCGAACCAACTGTTGGAGCTTTTGTAATGGGTAATAAGAAAGCACGGTATCCTTTTAATATAGTTGCAGTGAATCTTAAAAAAGCATCTTGTATTTCAAGTTCCAAAGCTTGATCCTTTCGTTTTTGTTGAAATTCTTTATCAACACTGAATTCTTCATCGTCTGTGTCTAATAAAGAAACTTATATGTGAGAAAATAATAGAGACAGAAATAAAGCAGCAACATATATAGTTATAGTACCTTTCATAGATGAATAACTCTTCCCCAAAGAAATCAGTTTTGAATAGAGATGTTCCAACCAATTACGAAGTTGTCTGGCTGCCTTTTTAGGTAATAATTTTACATTTAAATACTTCTTATCGTCGCAAATCGCTATATTATTTGTGTCCAGATTAACACAATTAACATCAGAGGGTGGATCGTATAGGTCAAAAAATCTAGAGTCCACGCCAATTAAGAACGGTAAAGGAGCATGCAAAACCTGCAATTTCAAATAAATTTCATATTGTACTTAATATCTTTTTTTGTAAATGATGAAAATCAGAGGATACGTTACCTCGGCTAAACCTAACGGACACAATGGTATGTATGGACACTGCCACTTAAATGGAAACAATATCATTGCGATAGCTTCGCTGACTGATGTAAGTACGTCAGGGCGCAATGAATGTACAAGTATTTTCTGTTCGGTTAATATTAACAGCAATATAAGTAAACAATTGTCAGGCCCTAAATTAATGAGTAATTGCCGGAAACTGGCACCAGATCTAGGCAGCGCTAAATCTTCTGGTTGAGTTAAAATTAATCTGTCACTACTACTTAATTGTACAAGAATTCTTGGTCTCTGCGGACTTGGGAACGGTATATCGTACAAAAAATATGCTATATATTTCTCGATAGGAACGTTTTGAGGTTTGTTATTAACCATGCTATGTAGAAAAACTAAAAATTTCTGAAATGTGTCAAAGAATGGCCAGTGAGATAAAATACATATCGATTTACTGATATTCAACGACTGAGAAGCAGGGTCCATGAACTGCAACTTTTCCAACTGCAGTTGAGTAAGCTTCTTAAGTATTCCAGTCTGTTTAAGTGCTCTTATTTGTGAATGTTCTTTATCAATTTTTGTATGGTCAACTGAAATCAAAAATTTTTTATATTAATTACATTATACGACAGAATGAAGACAGAACAATATTATTATATTTATAAGAATATAAGAACGTATATAAATATGTATATTCATACCAGAATTCTGTATGTTCTCTGTGAGAATGTCGACTGATTGTTGATTTTCTTTTAAATTTAAAATATCCATTTCTAATTCAAGCTCTTCGTAAAACGTAATTGCTGAGCCATATATTTTTTGAGCTGCATCAGCAACAGTTAAAACAAATGTCGAAAATACTGGCTTTGGTTTACAAGCCATTTTTGGCCAACATTCTACCGTTGCTCCCATTGGTAAACAGAACATTGCAACAGAATTTGGAAAAACAAAACTATTATAGTCGGACATTGGATATTTGTATAATACAGCAGGTTTAAATGATATTAAATTTGCTCGATTCATCGATTTTTTATAACATAAAAATACATCACTACCCAACATGCCTTTGTTTAGATTTTTATTGATAACACAGAAAGCATGTGGAGGTGTTTCTCCTTTATTCATGAGAATTACGCATATGTCAGTCACAACTAAAGAATTGCATGGCATTTTATGACTGGCGCGTCTGTATGTGACATAAATTCTTGACGTTGAATTATTCACATTCGCTGAATGTCCTGTAGGAGTTTCTAACACCATTTCTGCATCTTGCATTATACGTTCTTTACCATCATATATAACACCTGAAATTAATGGTTGCTATTAAATATCTTACTGTAGTTCCAACTGTTTCAACAATATGTTTGTTTAATAGTATAATAATATAACAATAATTGAAAAATAAAATAAGATTTCAATTTATATGTTCTCCAAATTAATTATTTTATTTACTATAGGTATTTGTTTTCTTAGAACTCAAAAACCCAAAATTAAATTCAATTTTACCTTGTATACTTTTAATTAATATTCGTCATATACAAGAAATAATTAAAAAATGTTTATATGCTACGTTATTTTGTGAATCTCATCTTACCTATATCAACTAAAGGAGGTTTATCCCTCCCTCTTCGATAACATAAATAACACTCATTTGTTCTTAAGCTTCCATGGTTTAAATCAGCAGGTAATCCTGAAACGGTATGTTCTAACAAAGTATATCCATCTGGACACTGTTCGCCTAGCGCTGGGAATATAATGGCAAGGTCGGTGATCGGAGGTTTCATGTGTACATCTTTAACATGTGTCCCTTCTTGATACCAATCTTCCAATTTTTCTTGAGTTTCATTATCACTTTCAAAATCATTATCTTGACCAGGTAAGCCAGCAATAACAAAGTAGTCTGCTACCCTCCTTTCATCCATGACTACTTAGATATAAAAGAGAAAAATATTTTAAAGAATACAGAATAATAGAATCAATATATACATATACATATACATATATTCAATAAATAAATTTACCAACTTTAAAAAGAAAACTTCTTCACATGGTATTGAAATAATCCTGTGCGAAACTCCTTTCATATATTTTAAAATTATCTCTGTTACTTTCGTTTTTCAATAACTTTACTTAAATAATAATCCTTATATGAATTATTTTGTAAAAGCATCCTACAATCAGCTAAAATTAATATTTAATTAATATGACCTAT